TGTCTGAGAATGTCTTTATTTCTCCTTCATATATGAAGCTTAGTTTTGCAGGGAATAAGATTCTAGGGTGGGCATTGTTTTGTTTCAGAAGAGTGAGAATGGGGCCCCAGTCTTCTCCTTGCTTGTAAAGTCTTATTAGAGAAGTCTGGTGTTATTTGAATTGGCTTTCCCTTGTATGTTACTTGCTTCTTTTGTCTTACAGCTCTTAGAAGGGTCTCTTTAGTTGCTATTTTGGTCAGTCTGATGACTGCATGTCGTGACATCTTCTTGTTTGCAATGAATCTCCCAGGGGTCCTCTGAGCTTCTTGAACTTGTATATCGAGATTTTTAGCAAAGCCTGGGAAATTTTCCTCTATTATATCTTCAAATAGCTTGTCCAACCCTTGAGTGTTGTCTTCTTCCACTTCTGGTAACCCTATGACCCTTACATTAGGTTTCTTCACCTAATCCAACATGTCTTGTAGGCTTTGCTCTTTTCTCTTGTTTCTCTGCTCTATCTCTGTGGCTGTTTTATTTAGTTGGAGGATGTTATCTTCAATCTCTGAGATTCTTTCTTCTGTTCAGTCTACCCTGTTCTTGAGACTGGCCACTGTATTTTGTAGTTCCCTGAATTGATTCTTCATTTCCAGGAGTTCGGTTAAACTTTTCTTCATTGTGTCTATTTCTTTAGTGAACTTTTTTATTCTAGGTCCTGGAGGCTTTTTGTGGTTTCTTTGTGTTGGTTATTGAGTTGTTCTTGCAGCTCGGTGAGTGTTCTTATGATCCACATACGAAATTCCTCTTCTGTCATTTTGGTTGCCTGATTTTGGTTGGTGTCCGTTTCTAGGGGGCTGGTGCTCCTCTTTGGGGGTGTGTTTTCCGTTTGGTTCTTCATATTTCCTGAATTCCTTCACTGATTTCTTCCCATTTCGATCAGTTGTTTCTTTCCTTTAGGTTTTTGTTTGCGTATTCACACGCCTTGTTTAGTTTCTGAGCCAGTAGGTGGTGTCTGTGGATGAGATTCGACCACTCCTTGTATAATGAGTCAGTAGGTGCCGTGAAAAGGCTGTGCAGGATGCCGTCCCTGTCAGTAGATGCTGCTTGCTTGGAGGAACAGGCTACACTGTTGTTTCTGTGTCCTGTTATCAGGTCTTGTTCCTGTAGGGATGCACACTAGTGCCTCAGGTGGTCGGTGGGGCCCTGGGACTTCCAGGTGTGTCCTTTTCTCCCCCTCAGTGAGGCTAGTCTAGGAGAAAGTCTGGGCGGAGCTGGGTTGGGTAAGCCTGCCGTCAGGCACCATCAATGTCATTAGCAGGGATCAAGTTCTGTTCTCTACTTCCAGGAAAAGCTGTCAGGGAGGGGCTGGCATGGCCCCGCTCAATCAGAAAATCTGTGTGTGGGGTGGGGCTGTCTGAGACCCGCAGTCTGGAGCGGGCCTCGTTTCTTTCCACCCTCTCTAACTCCGCAGCTACTCCTGGGCCTCTGCCAGCAGGCCAGACCACATGCCACCAGGCCTCCCCTGCCTGTGATGCCAGCCGGGAGGTTCCCTGCGCAGGAATGCCACCTGGTCTGGGCATATGGCCTCCTTTGGGGAGGAGGGTTGCCCTCTAGGACGCTGATCTGCCCCTGAAGGCACACACACCTCAGTAGGCTGTTTATGTATATCCCTTCTGTGCCCCAGGCAATGCGAGACCTCAGTGCTCGGGATGTGGTCTGCAGGTCTGACATCTGGGTCCCAGAGTTCAAACTGTATCCCCACCAGGTAGAGGAGTGCCGGTCCCAATTCACCCACAGGGAGCCCAAGCTGGGTCTCTGTCTCTCAGCCTCAGGATCTGCCTCGTTCTCCTGGGATCACCGTGCCAGCAACACCTGGGAGGGCCGGCGGGTAGGGAGCTCACAGTCTTGAGTTCCTCTTAGTCAGCTGTAGGGCCCCAAAAGGGAAGGTCCTGTTTCCTGGAGGTGCCTCTGGCTGGTGGCTACATTGTCTCTCTGGGCAGCCGGTAGGTTCGGGGGAGGGGAGGAGGAGGCAATATGGCGAGGCTCAGGTCTGTGCACATGGAGGTGCCCTGTGGGAGTTGGGAGCCTGGTGCCACGTCTGCTACAGGCTCACCGCTCGCTTGCAGCGGCCGTCTCTGGGCTGGTGTTTGCAGGTCTCTCCACCCGCTGGGGAGCCCACCAGCAGTCCCAGATGCAGGGGAGGGGAAAGGTGACTGATCCACCTTCCCTTCCCGCTGGTCTCCAGGCTGCTCCAGCGGTCTCAGCTTCCAGTTCTCCTCCACAGCCTCCTCCCGTGGAGTCTCCCGTGGTCTCAGGTACCCCTCCTTCCGGCCCTTGTCTGCTGTATGCTCGTCTTCCTGCTTCTTTTTTCTAATTTCTGCTAGAATCTGTCTTTTCTGCAGAGACACTGTGTCTGGCGGTGTTTCTCGTCTGGCATCTTGATCCTCCCCGCATATGATGATCTTGTTTGATACTTACAATAAACCTGTAAACATCTCGAGGGCTACCTCAGATGACCATTCCCAAACCGGTTGAACCTGCTAAATTCTCCCCGTAAGCTAATTTGTGCTCTCTGTGCCTCCTGTCCCAGGCTCCCCATGCACATATAGAGTTAATTATTTTTGTGTTAATTATTAAGTACCTTGTGAAGCTTTACCTAGTGATGGGCATAATTGGTCCCATTTTATCTGGAAACTCCCCTTTTGTTTTTAGATTCCCTTTGCATATAACTTACTTTGGAAAGTAAAGGCTCTCATCTTGGTTTCCTGGTCAGATGAGCTGAGATAAAGCCAAGCTCTGCTGCCTACTGCATGTTTGAAAAATATTTCCTTTTCACCAGAAGCAATGATGTCGCTGGTGAGCTTGTTAGAAATTCAGAAACTCACGCTTCACCCCAGATTTTCAAAATCAAAATCTGTATTTTAAGAGGATTTCTAGTTCATTGTTGTACTTGTTGAAGGCTTTGCAAAATTTAAAAAGCATTAATGCCTTCTAACTCAACATGACTTTTCTGTCTGAAAAATATACACAGCTTATCCAGTATCGTGTAAATATAGTACTCAAAAATATAAATGCTTGTGTCGGTGACCTGAACTTTATACCTTATCATTCAGAAAACTATATCTACACAAGTTTTGTGGACCTTATGTCATCCTCTCTCCTCAGAGTCAGATAACACATTGGAGAACATTTCTGTGTTATAAATTGTCTTTTTGAATATTTCCAGTTACTCATTTGAGTCAGAACCAGTTCTCTTTACTCTGTTATTTCACCAGCAGTGAAATTAAGAATTCTCCACATGACCACTTGGTAAATATGTGTTTTGTTTTGTTTTGTTTTTTCAGAGACTGTTGACATTCAGGGATGTGGCCATTGAATTCTCTCTGCAGGAGTGGGCATGCCTTGACAATGCTCAGCGGAATTTGTATAGGGAGGTGATGATAGAGAACTATGGAAATTTGGTCTTCCTGGGTAAAGATCATTTCAATACACAATTTGTATTCCACACTAAGAATTTTATATTCTACCTTTGTAGAATTTCTCTGGGATTTTCTGCTTTGCATGAGTGAAGCTGTGATCTTTGTTTCCAAGAAAAAAATGGGATTTATTGGTATAGGAAAGAAAATCTTCAATCTGTTTTATCTTGACATTAATCTTTCCCTTTCTTGAACTGATCTGTATCCTTCACTCTTCGTTAGTGGTAATTCCAAAAATTTAGTGGCATAAGATGTTGTTGCTCACAGCTTAAAATCCAATTTCCACCACCCGTATTTGATTCTACAGTACTAGGTAATGGAGCTAAGGACTCCCAAATTTTAATACTTTCTAAATATTCTAAAGTGTCTGTCAGGAATTAGTATTTTGAGATTAATATTTTTTAGAATCTTCTATAGTGTTCCCATTTCTCTACTGAGCACAGTACTCAATTGGTAATGGAAGAATCCCAAAAATGTCATGTTACTTTTTTCAAATAAAACAGGTCTTGTTGCCTCTAAGCCAGACCTGATCACCTGTCTGGAGCAAGGAAAAGAGCCCTGGAATGTGAAGACAAGTGAGTCAGTAGCCAAACACCCAGGTAGGTGGGAGTGAAAGAAGCAGATGACACAGGTGAGAGCTCCAAAGGTCAAGGAGGAAGCCAGACCTTAAAAAGTGGTTTGGAAAACTCTGCTTCCATGGAAATGGGTTCTGGGAAGCCTGGGTTTCTTTCTCTTAATCTTTGATAGAGGCTTCCCTGTCCCTTATTCTTAAATTATCTAAGGACTTTATTTCCCTTCAGTGTTGATGATTTAAGGTTAGAGTGAGAACAAAAGCCCAGCTCAAGGTTTATAAGGGATGACTGCAGGTACTGCCGACTTTCCATTACATTGCAGGACATGGAAATATAGTGTATGCGCATGAGAACATTGAAAATGACCATAATGTAAATATTCCCGATGTTTATGGATTACAAGAATATCAAATCAGGTAAATTGCCATATAATTCAGAGTGGATATATTACATTTAATAAACTACCTATCAAAATTCCAATGGAGCTTTCATAAAGATAAAAAACATGTTTATTTTGTAATGTAATATAATATCTTGGATATCCAAGGTGATACTTTTTTTTTTCCAGAGAAAATGCAGGGGTACATAACTTCGATGATATCAAACTGTATTGCAAAACTGATAGTAATAATGCACATACAGATTAGTGTATGTGATGATAAGTGAAATCAACCCAAGTAAGAGGTAGAGAGTTCAGAAATAGCCCATGCACAGAGAGGCAACTAATCTACGGCAGGGCACAGAATACAAATGCAAAAGTACTAATTTCGGAATTGGTGCTGTAGGAAATTGAATTCCATAAGAAAAGATAAAGTTAGGACAATTTTTTGCTTAACACCACTGATCACAAATGAACTCAGATAAAGCATAAAAGTCTTGTGTAAGCAGGAAGTCTTTGTAAATCTTAAACAGTATTTAAAAAACTTTTGGTATTGATGTTAGTAAAAAAGTTTTTAGAATATGAACCAAGGTATAAAAGCAAAGCAAATATAATACCAATTCTAAAAGTAAAAAGCCTCTGCAGCAAAGATGAACCAAGAGAGAAGAAGATAGCTTTCTTCCTGATGCAGAAAATATGTGCAAAAATATAGCCTGATACAAGATTTTAATATCCATATTAATAAAGAAACTTATCCAAATCAAAGGTAAAAAACAATAAAAATAATGATAATAAACCTGTTTGAAAACTAAGAAAAGACTGAAATTGATATCTTCCAAATGGAAGGCATACAAATTAAAATGGGCTGGGAAATAATATGGAATATCACATCAATAATATTCAGGATCACAAATCATCAGATTAGAAATCAACAATATGATGACCCATACACTTACTATCTGTTAGGGATGGCTTACAATCAAAAGGAAGAGATAGGTTTTTAAAAGACATGAAGAAAAGAAAAGAAAGAAATCCTGTACCCAGTTGGGAGTATAAATTCATTTACTTAAAAAACAGTATGGAAATTCTTTCAAAATGAAAAAATGGATACATACAATGCAGATAGATCCCACTTCCTAGAGGTTAAAAAACCAAAGGAAATAAAATCAGTACTTGAGAAATATCTGCATCCTTGTGTTTATTACAAATTTATTGCATTGTATGGTAGTCCATTTTTTCATTGTTGAAAAGAATTCCATACTGTTTTTAGTTTATTAGAATTTATACTTACCAACTGGGCGCGGGTACAGGATTTCTTTTCTTTTCTTTTTCTTCATGTTCTTTTAAAAATATCGCTCTTCCTTTTGTGTAGCCATCTAACAGTACTCTAGATAGTGATATGTATCGGTGATTTTGATTTCTACTTCTGTGATGATTTGTGAATACTGAGCATATTATTGATGATATTCATATATTTCACAGCCATTTATTGTGTAGACTTCATTGGAAGAATCATTCAGTCTTTTGCTTTAGTTTCAAACAGGAATTAATATTGGTTTTTTATTTTGTTTACCTTTCGAAGTTGGAAAGTGTCGTTAGTATAATATGGTATAAAATCTATCAGCGTATTTTGTTTGACATAGTTTTCTTGATCAGAGAAAGTATTTTTTTATTGTTTTTTGCTGCTGCAGAGGTTTAATTTTAACTTGGTTTGGTATATTTGCTGTTTGGTTTATACCTTTGGTGTCATATCTAAAACGTTTAGCTGAACATCAATACCAAAAAAGTTTGTTAAATATGTTTTAGATTTTAAAAAGAGTTCTGATCTTACACAAGACTTTTGTACTTTATTCTGAAGTTCATTTGGATATGGTGTACGAAATGATCTAACTTTTTTTTTCCTTATGGATATCAGTTTCCTGGCACCAATTCAGGAAATTTACTTTTTTTGCTTTTGTATTTCTTGTGCCTGCCGTAGATTAGTTGACCTTTCTGTGGCATGGCTTATTTCTGACTCTCTATTCTGTGTACATTGGTGGTTGTTTTCACCTTATAATGCACGAATCTGTAATTGTATGTGCTTATACGTATAGTTTTGCGCAATACAGTTTGATATCATGAAGTATGATGGTACCTGCTTTTTCTCTGAAAAAAAAGAAAGATTTATCCTTGGGACGATATCCAAAGATATCTATGAGTTACATACAAAACATAAGAGCATAGTTTTTCCTTTTTATGAAATGATGCCCATTGGAATTG